GATGAGTTGATTCTAACCTAGGACGTCCCCATGTGTGTCAGAGGGGACCTGTGCTCCACAGGGTTCACTGGCTGATTTTTCAGAAGTAGGTCACCAGGCCTTTCTGTCAAGGTGTCTATGGGTGAACTTGAACCACCAACCTTTCAGTTAGCAGCCAAATGTGTCCCTACCCAGGGAGTCCTCTTACAAGGTTCCAAAACACCAAACTCACCCACTGCTGTCGAGTTGTATTCAACTCATAGTGACCCCTCCTTGGGTTTCTGAGGCGGTTATCACTACAGAAGTAGATTGCCCAACCTTCCTTCCCAGGAGTGGCTGGTGGGTGTGAATCTCCAGCCTTCTGGTTAGCAGGCAAATGCCTTAAGCACCAAGGTTACTCTCCCATAAATCTTCTGCTTAACGTCTAGGGTTGGAGGAACCTGTGCTCAACAGAGCTGGTGAGCACCACCCCCATAGCCGGTTCACCAGTGTCAGGCTGTCTGTGGGTTTATTCCATGTCAGGCTCACTTACCGGCTACGTATAAGGTCTTTTTTGAGGTTTATGATTTCCTTGTTCATATACTTGATGCTCTTCAGTGGCTTTTCTAGGACCTAATGAGAAGCCAAGAAATGAAAGAAAGAAAGAAAAAAGAGTGTTAATACATCTGTTACAAATGACCAGGCTTAGTTTCCAGAGGCTCATGCATTTACCTGAACGTCAGACCCGGGTCTGAGCACAGAGCCCATCTCTAAGCTAATGAGAGACCGTGCTGCACAGTGGAAAGAGCAAGGCCCTCCTTGGAGGCAGGCAGACCTGAGTTCTGATGCTGGTTCTGCCCTGTATCCAGATGGGTGACCTTTGACAAATTACTCATCTTCTCTGTGCTGCACAAGGAGGAAATACTTCCTACTTTGTTAAGAAGATTGAGTTGTTAAGTTCCTGACCCAGCAGGCACTTGATAAATGGCAGCCATTATTGTTAGCAAGGAGTCTTTGTGGTGCAGTGGTTAAGTGCTCGGTTGCTAACCAAAAGGTAGGTAGTTCGAACCCACTAGCCACTCTACAGGAAAGAGATGTAGCAGTCTGCTTCTGTAATGATTACAACTTTGGCAACTCTGTGGGGCGATTCTCCAGTGTTCTATAGGATTGCCATGAGCCAGAATTGGCTTGATAGCAATAGGTTTGGTTTATTATTGTTAGTGTCATACTCAAAGTGAAATAAGGAATTAAGCATTAACAGTTACTTTATTGTTAGTGGCATGGGCAACTGATTTGGAGCACTGCATATGGTCAATGTAGATACAGATGTACTTTTTTTCCCCTTCCTGTCCCCATAGCAGGAGCTCTGGTGGCATAGTGCCTAAGACACTTGACTGCTAACCAGAAGGCTGGCAGTTCAAACCCACCAGCCAATCCTCAGAAGGAAGATTGGGCAATCTACTTCCGTAGTGATACTGCCTTGGGAACCCAAGGAGGGGTCACTATGAGTCGGGTCCGACTCCACACAGTGAGTTTGGTTTTGGGCTGGTCCCCATAGCAGGATTTTACAAGTAAATTATCCCCATAATTAACCATGGGCTTCAATTTCCCTTTCTTTTATTCAATTGCCTTGACTAGACATAGGGGAAACCCCACAATACTTAAAATTCATTACCTGGAGGTTGTTACCAGGTAAACATAAAGAATAGAGTTAAATTAACTGTATTTTAATATAAAAATCTCTTTCTCAGCTGTGTGGAGGAACAATATTAAAAATATTATATGGATTATTCCATCTTAAAATTAATTCCTGCAATATGAGGATTTGTTTTTTAATAAAAAGAAATGCCAGGAAATTATGGGAAAATGGGCGCGCTCAGCCGAGGCTGTTGTAGAAGTGCACTGGGATGTCTTCTGGAAGGGTAGTTTGTGAGTGTGCACCAGATGCTTTATAAACGGGCACACCCTTAGCTCTAACAGGTCTGCTGCTGTCAAGCTTCCAAAAGGAATATTTATCAACAAAACTGTGCAACAGAATGCTGCTAGTAGCAGCAAACTATCGGAAAACACCTATATAGCTCCCATAGAAGACAGGTGAAATAAATGATTGTGCATTGGAACAATGGAATAGTATACGGTGATTAAATGTAATGTTGATATATAGTCAAGCAACCATGTTTTCCTATACAGAGATGTTTGAGTTTAAGTGAGAAAACATGTTACAAAGTGTAATGGGTTAAATGGTGCCTCCACCTTCCACACCAAAAAGAAGCAAAACATGGTAGAAAGATGTGACAGTTTGCTTCTGTAAAGATCACAGCCCTGGGGACCCCATGCAGCAGTTCTGTACTATCCTATGTGTTGCTGTGAGTGGGAACGACCACGGCAGCAACGGGCTGCCCCCCTTAGAAAAAATCGTCTACCTGGAACCTCAAGTAAGACTGTGACCTTATTTGGAAATAGGGTCTTGCAGATGTAATTAGCTAAGGATCTTGAGAGGGGATCATACTGGATTCAGGGTGAGCCCTCAATCCAATGACAGACATTCTCATAAGAAGAGAGGAAGGACACAGACACAAAGAGCAGAGCACTGTGAAGACACGGGCAGAGAGTGAGTGTGTCCAGAAGCCAGGGGACACCAAGAATGGCCAGGAGCCACCAGGAGCTGGGGGCAAGGTGAGGAGCAGAGTCCCCTTCAGACCCTCCAGAAGGAGCCCACTTGGCTGACACCTTGATTTCAGATTTCTGTCCTCCTGAACTGTGAGAGGAGAAAGTTCTATTGTTTTAAGCCACCCACGTTCTGCTAATTTCCTATGGAAGCCAAAGGGAACTAATTCACAATCTAACATATGTAGACTGATTCTCTGTCTGGTTTTTGCAAATGGCCTATGTGGATACGCTCATGTCAAATGACACGGAAGAGCATACGTCAAAATGCTTTTGTTGTTGTTGTTAGGTGCTGTCGTATTGTCTCTGACTCACAGTGACCTTATGTACAACAGATCGAAACACTTCCCAGTCCTGTGCCAGCCTCCCGGTCCCTACTGTACTTGAGCCCATCGCTACAGCCACCAGGTCAATCCATCTTGTTGAGGGGCTTCCCCTCTTTCATTGACCCTCCAATTTACCAAGCATGGCATCCTTCTCCAGAGAATGGTTCCTTCTGACATGACCAAAGTAGGTGAGACTGAATCTGAGACTAAATGGTTCCAAGCAGCATTCCAGCTGCACTTCCTCTAGGACAGATCTGTTAGTCCTTTTAGCAATCCATGGTGCCTGCCATCAGCATTCTTTGCCAGCACCACAACTCAAAAGCATCAACTCTTCTTCAGTCTTCCTTATTCATTGTCCAGTTCTCACATGCATATGAAGTGACTGAAAATACCATGGCTTGAGTTAGGCGCATCTCAGTTTTCTAGAAGTTATCTTTGCTCTTCAGCACTTGAAAGAGGTCTTTTGCAACAGTTTTGCCCAATGCAATACGTTGTCTGATGTCTTGACTGCTGCTTCCATTGGCATTGATTGTAGAACTAAGTAATATGAAGTCTTTGACAACGTCAATCTTTTCTCTATCTATCATGATGCTGCTTATTGGTCCAGTTGTGAGTATTTTTGTTTTCTTTATATTGAGGTGTAATCCATACTGCGGACTGTAGTCGTTAATCTTCATCAGTAAGTGCTTCAAGTCATCCTCACTTTCAGCAAGCAAAGTTGTGTCATCCGCATATCTCAGGTTATGAATGAGACTTCCCTCAATCCTGATGCCATGTTGTTCTTCATATAGTCCAGCTTCTCGGATTATTTGCTCAGCATACTGATTGAATAAGTATAGTGAAAGGATACAACCCTGACACACTCCCTTCCTGATTTAAAACCATGCAGCATCCCTTTGCCTCAAAATGCTAGCAGTGATAATCCCCTGGGGTTGAGGTTATGGCAGGTTTTTTTTTCTTCTTCTTAAATGCATGTCTCATTACTCTGTAGTAAATATTAATTAGCTGCATAACAAACAGAGAAAAGAGTAAAAGAACCAATAAATGACAAAATGAAGTTTCACAAGGTTGGTGAAGCACAGCGTTTGGTTGCACTGTGTTGAGACTGTTCTTTGAAGGCAGTGGGAAGATGGAGAGGACAAGAGAGCAGGAATTAATATGGATGAGTGGGACGAGGCATAGCCTTTCTCTGTATCACTGTCACCCACCTGCTCTATCCATCTCTAAGAACGAAGACTGCTCCAAGAATAAAGTCAGGCTGTGGTGCCCACTCTTGTCAAGTGAGGAGTGCAGCCGTATCCAGGTTGAATGGTGCTTGTGGTGAGCTTTGCAGAGGATGGCGTGCGAGAGTCTGAAGTGGAGGGAAGAGAGTCTTACTGGCTGGTCCTCAGCCGCTCTTCTCCTGGGTTCATGTACCCGTGCGAAGCAGCTTGGATTAAGCGTGAAGACTTTGTGGCAATTACCCAGATATTCGTAACTGCAGCTCCTTCTCGTCCACTTAAGAAAGTGAATATGTATATATAAAACAAACAAAAAACCCAAATCTATTTCTGTAGAGGGAGCTCTAGGTAGCATAGTGCCTAAGGCACTTGACTGCTAACCAGAAGGCTGGTGGTTCAAACCCACCAGCCACTCTTCGGAAGGAAGATGAAGCAATCTACTTCCATAGTGATACCACCTCAGAAACCCAAGGAGGGGTCACTATGAGTCAAGTCTGACTCGACGGCATATAACAACAACAAGAAGAATTTCTATAGAGTCAAATTCCGCCTCAAAGCAACCCTATAGGACAGAGTAGAACGGTAGAGTTTCTAAGGCTTTACAGAACTTTACAGAAGTAGACTGCCACATCTTTCTCCCACAGAGAAAGACCTTTTGGTTAGCAGCTGAGTGCTTAACCACTGCACCACCAGGGCTCCTGCAAAAAAGTATACTGTTGTTGTTATGTGCCACCAAGTCGGACCTGACTCATAACTACCCCTTCTTGGGTTTCTGAGGCGGTATCACTACTGAAGTAGATTGCCCAACCTTCCTTCTGAGGAGTGGCTGGTGGGTTTGAACTGCCAGCCTTCTGGTTAGCAGTCAAGTGCCTTAGGCACTACACTACGAGAGCTCCTTCAAAAAAGTATATAGGATGCAAAAAAAAAAAAAAAAAAAAATTCTGGGATAGCCTTGAGTAAGCTCAACTAGATATGGAACAATTTGGAATCATTTCCAAATTTTATTTCTTAGCTATTGCTAGCAATGAATTTATAGGTAATATATCTTGCTTATCACAATATATCAGGCTGTTGGTGAAGATTGTTGGCAAAGCCATGAGCTTTCATCTAGAGGGATGACTGAAGTAGACAGAGAGACCAAGCACAAAGGTGCCATGGAAGGAGCACCAGGCTGCTTTTTCAGACATCTACATACATGTGTTAAATGTATTCATGAACAAAGGAAAAAACAAACCCTACTGCCATAGAATTCATTCCAACTCATAGCGACTCCCATTGGGTTTCCAAGGCGGTAAATCTTTTCGGAAGCAGATTGCCCAGTCTTCCTTCCATGGAGTGGCTGGTGGGTTGGAACTATCAGCCTTCTGGTTAGCAGTCAGATGCCTTAGGAAAAACAAGGCAGAGTTCCTTAAGGAAAAAC